TGTTTTGTCCCCTTCCCTGTTTTTATATTACTTTTGCTTCCCTTTCCTTATGTTCACCTGTTTTGTCTCTTAAATTCCTCATGTGAGTGAAATCATATGATATTTGTCTTTTTCTGACTAATTTTGCTTAGCATCATACCCTCCAGTTCCATCCACGTAGTTGCAAATGGCAAGATTTCATTCTTTTTGATTGCCGAGTAATACTCCATTGTATATATATATACCACGTCTTCTTTATCCATTCCTCCATCGATGGACATTTGGGCTCTTTCCATTCTTTGGCTACTGTTGATAGTGCTTCTATAAACACTGGGGTGCATGTGCCCTTTCGAAACAGCACACCTGTATCCCTTGAGTAAGTACCTAGTCGTGCAATTGCTGGGTCATAGGGTATTTCTATTTTTAATTTTTCGAGGAACCTCCATACTGCTTTCCAGAATGGCTGCACCAGTTTGCATTCCCATCAGCAGTACAAAAGAGATCCTCTTTCTCCCCGTCCTCGCCCACATCTGTTCTGAACATAAATTTTTAAAAAATGGCCCTATGCTGGATGAGTGTCAATTAATATATGGAAAAAACAGTAATTAAAAGGTAGAAATTTTTAAAGCTGCAAGTTCTACAGAGTCTGAAATTTGGGCAAAAATAAAAATTATCAGGTAACAAGAATCGGCTTTTTACAACATGTTTCTCCTGGGGTGCCTGGGTGGCTCAGTCGGTTAAGCGTCCAACTCTTGGTTTCAGCTCAGGTCATGATCTCACGGTTTGTGAGTTTGAGCCTTGCCTCAGGTTTCTGTGCTGACAGTGTGGAGCCTGCTTGGGATTCTCTGTCCCTCTCTCTCTCTCTGCCCCTCACTCTCTCAAAATAAATAAACTTTAAAAAATAAAATAAAACCCATTACCCATTGGACTTTCTATATCAATATAAAGTGGGGAAAAGAAAGTGTGTGCAAATGCAATGCAGTCCCAGGATAGGTATCAGTGTGGGCTTCTGAGGTTCTTCTAGTTGGCACAGTGGTGCTCCTGGCTGCACTTCAGAATTACCTGGGGGTTTTAAGAAATACTGATGCCTGAACTCATCCGCAAAGATTCTGTAACTGATTCTGGGCGAGGCCTCGGCTTGGAAGGATGAACTGCTATCCACCCTCTCTCTCCCAGGTGATTCCATTGCGTACCAAAGTTTGGGAATCAATGCTCTAGCAATTTAAAAACTGCCCTGGTTATTTTTATTTTATTTTATTTTATTTTTATTTTTTATTTTTTTTTCAATATATGAAATTTATTGTCAAATTGGTTTCTGCCCTGGTTATTTAACGTGGGGGAGGGGAAGGAATTCCCTCAACAGGATATAAAATGTAACATACTGTATTAAAATATTTCTCTTTTAATGGTCGCTTACTTCCTCTAGCTATATTTCTCTCCTTACCTGGATATATTTAATTTATTCTGGTAGAAATAACTGGTATCTGTTTCAAAAGGAAACCCACTAAAAGGCAATACAGATTATAGTTTTTCAACTTCCTCCCAGTGAGCGTATTCTTAAATATTCACTAAACATTGTGTGCCTTGTTTATCAATGCCTGCTATTTCTAGTAACTTCCAGACACTGTTGAGATAAAAGACCCATGCTTAATAGACTTTCTTTTTAAAATAATGTTCTTTAATGCCGTTCAAATTATTCTTTAAAAATGCAAGAGCATTATCAAGTAAAATTAGAAAATAAAAAAAATTAGCACAACTTACGTTTATTTTAGTATTGAAGAGAATATGTCTGTAGGCCTGGGCTTTGCATAAAATAGCATTAATCAAGATGATAACAGGATCATACTCGATATATTTGTCTACAGGTTTCTGGCAGGATTTCTGAAATAATGCAAGATAATATTAGAACAAGCAAACTCACACATTCTGAAATCTTAAAGGATTCTGAACTAGCAGAGTCTATTTTGGACTTGTATAGCAATAAGGACATGTCAGCATTTATTTAAATTAACTTCTCTTCAGATACAAAATGTTCACATAAGCTCTGGTTTCAGAAATGACTAAATACAATCTTCTAGGCTAGAAATATTAATCTTTTTTTTAAAAAATATTTTCTTAATGTTTTTATTTATTTTTGAGACAGAGAGAGACAGAGCATGAGCAGGGGAGGGGCAGAGAGAGAGGGAGACACAGAATCCGAAGCGGGCTCCAGGCTCTGAGCTGTCAGCACAGAGCCCGACATGGGGCTGGAACTCACTGTGAGATCATGACCTGAGCTGAAGTCGGATGCCTAACTGACTGAGCCACCCAGGCACCCCAGAAATATTAATATTTTAATCTCATATGTAAGGAAGTTGAAAAAATTTTGATTTTTTTAGAAAATATTTTCTTAGTGTTTATTTATTTCTGAGAGATTGAGAGATAGAGAGCGCGAGCGAATGAGCAGGTGAGGGGCAGAGAGAGAGGGAGACACAGAATCTGAAGCAGGCTCCAGGCTCTGAGCTGTCAGCACCAAGCCCGACGTGGGGCTCGACTTCATGAAATAGCGAGATCATGACCTGAGCTAAAATCGGACACTTAACCAACTGAGCCACCCAGGCGCCCCAAAAATATTTGATTTAAAGACTGGATTAGGCAGAAAAGTATCCCAGAAAATGCTTTCACTTTGTAGGACTTGTTATAAAATAAAGAAATACATTTATAATGTACTTCCATTGATAAACTGTTGCCTATTGGCTAGATGGCCACCAACTCTGCGGTTCTTGAAACATGACTTGGAGAAAGGGGTTCAGAAAAGCACGCGGAGCTTCTGAGAGCTAAAAGCAAATAAAGAATGTGGTAGATACTGAGAAGCTCTTTTTCCCCTCCCCTCCAATTAACATTGAGAATATGGGAGGAAAATGCTCCTTCTCTGTGATGAACAATGGTGAAGACGCTGGAAAATGCTGAGCTATACATAAGCAAATGGGGTGCAGCTTGGTTCCAGGTTACCGGAAGCAAGACACCTGGGCTCTCAGTAATTCCTACTACATTAACTTTTTTGGACACTCGTGATTACAATGTTATCAAAGTCCAACACCGGCAGAACACATAACACCGGTGTACAAGAACGAGCTCATCAGAGGGGTGCTTGGGTGGCTCAGTCTGTTAAGCGTCAGGTCATGACGCTCTGTCAGCAGAGCCCGCTTTGGATCTTCTGTCCCCCCTCTCTCTGCCCCTTCCGCATGTATGCTCTCTCTCTCAAAAATAAATAAACATTAAAAAAATTTTTTTTAATAAAAAATATTTTAAAAAAAGAGAACAAGCTCATTAGAAATGTGACATTTCGAAGAGTTTTAGTTACAAAGTTGAGTTAAGGCAACTGTTCTAATGGCTACAATTCAAACATAAAACATTTTGAAATTCTGAGAAGATAAAATAAAAATGGAAGTGATGGATATGCAAACATACTGGGATGGCCTTTTAATTACATCAAAGTGCTAGGGAAAAAAAAACGAAGGGCGTTGAAAGATATCAACCCCGCATTCCAAAGGTAAAGAAAAACCACTTCGGAAAGAGTTTCTCCACTTCATTCGTGTCATTTACAAGAAACGCGTATGTTTTTAAGTCATCAAGTGAACCAATGAAGAGAGACGTGCTATTACCTCATTTAAATACACCTAATCACTCGAGGCATAAGATGTTAACGATTTCACAGTTTTTCTGCTGGGCAAAGAGTAAGCCAGTGTCTAGACAGAAGCCGCGGAATCAGACATCCTATATTCATGACGAAGAGCTGTTTTCTAGACACCCTCCCTCTGCTGCCTATGGGCAAAACACCTCCTCTCTACAAACAACACTGGAGATCCTACTCCATTGTAAAATGGAACCACTGGCTGGTCAAGGGTCTTATCGCTGTCTGTTACAAGTTCCCTCAAGGGCACCTGGGTGGCTCAGTGAGTTAAGCGACTGCCTCTTGGTTTCAGCTTAGGCCATGATCTCACGGTTCGTGGGTTCGAGTCCCATGTCAGGCTCTGCGCTGACAGCACGGAGCCTGCTTGGGATTCTCTCTCCCTCTGCCCCTCTCCCTCTCCTGCTTGTTCTCTCTCTCTCTCTCTCTCTCCCAAGAATAAACAAATAAAACTTAAAAAAAAAGTTTCCTAAAACCCGTACGTATGGAGGCAGCAGTGCAAGTCGAGCTGAGCCAGGATTTGGACAATTTTTGGGAGGAAGTGGCAGAAGACAGCAGCCCAGTTTTCCCTTTTACAATCACTTGGCCGACAGATGTGTCTGTCGACGCCACAGCGTTCATTGCAACAGCTCTCCTAGCCATTTCTAGGGACCAGGCACTTCCAGAATGCTAGATACTCCCCTTGAGATGTCAGTCTCTATCCTCAAGGACCTTACAGTTTAGAAGAGGACGCATAAGCACGCTACTGCAAGCGCTACAATGGAAGGGACACAGGGTGACATGAATCCCCGTAGGAGGGGCGGCTCCTGGTGTCACATGCCCTGTGATGTGCTACACCCACCTTCCCTTCCTAGCATTCTGAGTATTTTACAAGCACTGAAAGTTCATTAGAGCCCACTGGTTCCCTCCCTATCAGGTTAAGCCTGATTTGTCCTTGTTCTGCCTCTGCTACTTGCTTCTCCCACGAGGGCTCCCTCCACCTTGAACGCAAGGAGGAAACCCACACAGGCACAAAACAAACACACAGTAAAACACCCTAGTGGCAGGCGGCTACGTTTAGATTACGTTTTCTTACTCTGGCAAAATCGTTCCGCTCCCTTTACTCCTGACTGGATGAGTATCGCGAAAGAGAAAGTTGTCCTCTGAGAAATCCGTAAGCACAAGGGACTGTGCACATCCCGGAAACGCAGATATTTCCGCCACCTCTATGTTACCATGGATACGAATTACTTTCTGCTGCTATGTTCTTCAGTGCCCTGGGAAATCACCTCTCCTTCAGCATATAAACTGGCCAATATTTTATGAACGTTCTTGCTGCTTCTTCCTCCCCATCATCTCTAGGGCCGTCCCCTTCCCCACTCATTCTCAAACCTGTTCCATTTTAGCTCCACAATCAGCAAAACATGTATCTTAAAACTGGAGGCCCCTAGACTTGAAGCTCCTCAGGGTTAGGATACCCTTTCATCCATCTCTGCATCCATCCAGCATGTAAGGGTGCAGGCTCCATACTGTTCGCACTGAACAGAACTCAAACTTGTGAGGATCTCAATGGAGTCTTGTCTTGTCACCATCGTGAACCTATCAAGTATCTGAGCACACAAAACAATCTGGGCACTATAGGATGTCAAAAGCACTGTATCTTTAAGCCTACTTATAAGAAACCGTGAAAAGCTGAAGGAGAGGGAGTGGCTAAAAGCAAGTGACATGCTTCCATTAGATGGAGAAAAATTCGGGAGACACAGGGGCAAGCTGCGGGGGACAGCACTGGAGACATAAGAGCAAAGGGAAGGGAGGTAAAGATGAGAAATACAGGTAGGGGGCGCCTGGGTGGCGCAGTCGGTTAAGCGTCCGACTTCAGCCAGGTCACTATCTCGCGGTCCGTGAGTTCGAGCCCCGCGTCGGGCTCTGGGCTGATGGCTCAGAGCCTGGAGCCTGCTTCTGATTCTGTGTCTCCCTCTCTCTTTCTACACCTCTGTCTCTGTCTCTCAAAAATAAATAAACATTAAAAAAAATTTTTAAAAAAGAAATACAGGTAGGAGGTCAGGCTGAGTACATTGCTGGTAGCTAAGGGACCGAAGCATGCATGAGTCACCAGCTTATAGAAACTGTGGCTATTTTTCCAGAACAAATAGCCTGATGTGTAAAAACTGTTTACTTTTTACTCTCACGACTTGGAAGGCCTTTAAAAAATTATTTTGCAATTTAATTTTCAGAGTCCAGCATCAACGGAGTGATTTTTCCTAAATAATGCTACTATGCAGGGGCGCCTGGGTGGCTCAGTCGGTTAAGTGTCCGACTTCGGCTCAGGTCATGATCTCACGGTTTGTGGGTTCGAGCCCCGCGTCGGGCTCTGGGCTGATGGCTCGGATCCTGGAGCCTGTTTCGGAGTCTGTGTCTCCCTCCCTCTCCCCCTCCCCTGTTCACACTCTGTCTCTGTCTCTCTTGAAAATAAATAAACATTAAAAAAAAAAAATTAAAAAAAATGCTACTATGCATATTACTATGCATTAACATGATAAAGGAGATTACCCACTCTTATCTCATCAGGAAATGGCTGTGTACAATAATGTACTGTACCACCACTCATTACCCCAAATATAATTCTAAAATCTGTCTCCTAGGTGAGAGGGGCTGATGATGTTGGGGGAACGGGTGGGGAGCCAGACGAGGGTGTAGTGGCTGACCTAAACAGCTATCCAATAATTATTTTCTATAAAATTACTTTCCATAAATAAGGTATAGAGAAGCCAGCATCTGATGATTAGGAAAAGGATTTTGTTAGTTTAATGCCAAGAATTTTTAAAAATAGAGATTAATTTATATTATATATAAAAATTTATGTTATATATATTATATTATTAAAGATTACTAACTTTAGTTAGATAGTTAGATGTGGTTGTCATCTTTAAGACAGATGACTTAATTGTGCCAGTCCAAAAATTATTAAGTTTAGATCCCATATAACTTACTATTCTCTCCCTTGTACTAGGATGGCCAAGGATATCACCATCTAAAAACATAGAAATGGCTCGTTCATTCAACAAATATTTATTGCATACTTACTATGTGTCAGGCACTGTTCTGGATGATCTAGCTACATTAATGAATAAATTATATATAATCTCGTGTAGCTTATATTCCAGCGGGAAGAGACAAGCAATAAATAACAAATAAGTCAGCTTTATAGAATATTCAAAGATGATAGGTGCTATGGGAAAGATAATGCAGGGAGAGGTGATAAGGCATATCAGACCTGGCAGGGGGAACCACAATTTGTAATAGGGTGGTCAGAATAGACCTCTCTGAGAGGCCAATAAAAATACTTGAAGGAGGTGAGGGAATTAGCCATGTCAGATCCTGACAGAAGAGTGTTCCAGGCACAGTGCAAAGGCCCTGAGGAAGGAACTTGCCTGGTTTAAAAGCTATCTGGAGGCAGGGGTGCCTGCCTCCAGTTGGGTGAGCATCCAACTCTTGATTTTGGCCCAGGTCATGATCTCATGGTCGTGGGACTGAGCCATGTGCTGAGTTCCATGCTGACAGCACGGCACCTGCTTGGGATCCTCTCTTTCTCCCTCTCAAAAAAAAAACCCCAAAAAACCAAAACAACAACAATAACAAAACTATCAGGAGGCAATGAAACTGCAGTAGAATAATGGAGAGTAGCAAGAGACTACATGAGCCTTATAAACCAGTGCAAGGATTCTGACCTTAATTCTGAGTGAGATGGAAAATCACTGGGAAGTTTGAGAAAACTTCAATTTTATTTTATTATTTATTTATTTATTTTTTAAGTAGGCGCTATGCCCAGCATGCAGCTTGAACTCACAATCTGGAGATGAGGAGTCTCATGCTCTACTGCCTGAGCGGGCCAGGTGCTCCTCTACCTTACATTAAAAAAAAAATTTCATATGTTTTAATTTATTTTCGTGAGAAAGACAGACACAGTGTGAGCGGGGGAGGGGCAGAGAGAGAGGCAGACCCAGAATCAGAAGCCGGCTCCAGGCTCCGAGCCGTCGGCACAGAGTCCGAAGCGGGGCTCGAACTCGTGAACCATGAGATCATGACCTGAGCCCAACTCAGATGCTTAACCAACTGAGGCACCCAGGCGCCCTGTCTAACTTACATTTGAAGAGGAACACTTTGGCTGCTGTGTGAAGAGGCTCAAGACGTTCAAGGGTGCTACAGGTTAAGAATTATGACAATAATCCCGGTGAGACACGATGGCAGCATGGACCAGCGCTGTAGCAGTAGAGGTGGTGAAAAAGCAGTGGATTCTGAACACGATCTGAAGGCAGAATTAACAGGACCTGCCGAGCACCCGAATAAGGAAATAAATGCGGGAGAAAGGAATCAAGGATGACTCCAAACTTTTTTGGTCTTAGGAACTAACACGGAAGAGCCGCCATTAACTGTGAACGTTTGAGATAACTAGAAATATCCAACTGGAGAAATCAAGTCGTTAGTTGGACATTTGTGTTCTGGAATTCAAGGAAGAGGTTCAGGCTAGAGGTTCAAACTTGGGAACTGTCAAAGTGTAGATGGTCTTTAAAGCCATGAGCCAGAATGAGCTCTTCAAAGGAGAGTGTGTAGACAGAGAAGAGGCCCAAGAACTGAGCCTCACGGTTAAGAGGTGAGGCAGGTGACACAGAACCAGAAAGGAGATTGAGAGGAAACAGCCAACAAGGTAAGAAAACTGGAAGAGCCTGGTGTCCTGGCAAGTGCACGCAGCGTGTCCAGGGGAAAGTAATAAGGTCAAATGTTGCTGACAGTTCACTGAGAATAGACTACTGGGTTTAGCAAAGTAGAGGTCTGTGATCTTAAGAACAGTTTCTAGTGAAATGCTGGGTGGGAAGAAAGTGTGTCTGAAGAAGATTCAAGAGAAACTAGGAAAGGAAATCGAGATAGCAATTAAAAATATCTCTTAAAGGACTTTTGCTGTCAAAGGGACAGGGAAAAAGAGCGGGAGCCCAAACAAAGGAGGAAGTGGGGTCAAGTTGTGTGTGTGTGTGTGTGTGTGTGTGTGTGTGTTTATTTATTTATTTTTTTTTTCAACGTTTATTTATTTTTGGGACAGAGAGAGACACAGCATGAACGGGGGAGGGGCAGAGAGAGAGGGAGACAGAATCGGAAACAGGCTCCAGGCTCCGAGCCATCAGCACAGAACCCGACGCGGGGCTCGAACTCACGGACCGCGAGATCATGACCTGGCTGAAGTCGGACGCCTAACCGACTGCGCCACCCAGGCGCCCCTGTGTGTGTGTGTTTAAATTAAGGAAAGACTGTACATGTATCGGTGGGAATGATCCAGTGGAGAGCAGAAGATTATAGTCACAGGGATGTCCCTAATGGAAGATGACAGGGACATCTAGTGCACATGTGCACATTGGTTTTGGACAGGTATATTGAACAGTTCATCCATCCTCACAGCAGGGAAGACAGAGCATATGAATAAAGGGTGCTAGGAATGGATTTATGTGGTTGCAAACTTGTGGAAGGTCTCCTCTTTTTTTTTTTTTTTCAGCAAAGAGGGCAGCATATGTGGGGAAACTTGAGGAGCGAAAAGGTTTGTGGGAATGGTGCATGGATTAGTGAAATGCAATGTGATGGTCAGATGGTATCATGGGCTACATGAGGTTGGTGGTCATGGATTTAGGTGTTTTCTTCCTCAGTGAAATACAGCTGCAAGGGTGAGGAGGAGACAGATCAGACAATATGCTGGACTCAACCAGGGTTGCAATTTTGCCAAGTGAGGGAAAGCACTTGAGACAGGAACAGTGATCATGTCAGCTGACAACAGATTAAATAGGTACACATTCCTACTTTGTCTGCTCCCTTGTATGTTAACACCAGGCCATGTTTTCCGAATAAGGATTATTACTAGCAAATCATCAGATCAGAAATGGGACAAAAACCTACTGACTGCCTACTATGCGGCTGGTTCTTTGCTAATACCGCAAAAAGAACCTCCAATTTTGTGACTTTTTAAACATAAAAAGTCCTGTTAATTCGTCATTTTTGGTTTTTGTGTCACCAACGTCCACCTTAGTGCGTTGCACACAACACAAACTATACATTCGATCATCGCAAAGGATGAACCCGACATAAAGTGTTCTAGGAAAATTTAATACAGGTTATGGAGTGTATGGATGATAACATTTACCTGTGCAAGGGTGAACAGCTAAAACTTAAAGAGTTTGGGCGTGAACTCAAATGTCAACATAATCCGATTTTTAAATTTCTCCGCACAACGCCTACATCCATCTCCATTCGAGAATCCGTCCGCCGCGTTAGGTCTCACCAGCAAACACGACGGGTATGAGAAAACCACTGCAGGGTAGTGAGTTCTTTAACACTATGGATAACCGCAAAGGCTCGACTGACTCCGGACAGGAATGTCAAGTATTAAACTGAAGACTGTATTACAGGACCCTGAAACTCGTTGATTTTTCTGCCCTAAAACGCTGACATACATATCCCACTGCCTCTCATGGTCCCCAAATCCCGCCACGCCATTTTCTTCCCCAGGACACCCCACGCCTGACAACTCACGCAGATGGTTATCTTCAGCACTCCGTGGTTATAGTCTCGGTACAACTCCTTGGCCTCTTGGTTGCATTCGATGCACCTGTACTGGCAGGAGGCCGAGGCAGCAGTGGGAGTGGGAGTAGCTGCAACCCCATCGGTGTTCCCCTTGCCCGCGACTACCCCTTCTGCGTTGCCCTTGCCTGGCCGTAGCCCATACCGCCCACCGGTGCCCATTTCCACGCAACTGCAGCCGAGAACTTCCGATTCAGTGGCGGGGAAAGACGTCAGACATCAGACCGGAAAGCCTGTCCCGTGCGGTGCTTGCTGGGATTCGTAGTCTCAGCCTCGGAAAGGGGACTCGCGGCTGGCCGAGCTGGGACTACAACTCCCAGCAGGCAACGCCACACCCCTTCCCTCCCCCTTGCCACGGCCCACCTGCCCGCCGCGGGTTAAGGCTGGGAGGCCGCAGCGTGCGGCGAGGGCCGCCGCACATGCGCCTTGAGGAAAGATGGCACCTGCCGGCTGCTGCTGTTGCTGCTACTGCTGCTGGGGCGGCGCTGTGGCCGCCGCGGACGCCGCCCGGCGCGTCCTGGTGCTGCTGTTGCTGGGGGTCCTGTCCGTCGGGCCGCGCCCGGGTGCGCTGGCCACTGAGCACTACTCGCCGCTGTCCCTGCTCAAGCAGGAGCTGCAGCATCGGCAGCAACAGGAGGCCCAGGCAGGCGGCGGCTGCAGCCCGCAGTCCGGGGACTGGGGAGACCAGTACTCGGTCGAGTGCGGCGGTGAGTGGGCGGCGGGCGGGCGTCCGGGTCGCCCGGGGCCGCGGGGACTGCGGGGCCGCGGGGACGGCGGGCTCCCGGGGGCCGATGTGCGGGCGGCCCGGGCCTCGCCGCCGCCGGCCGCGGTGCGGCGTGTGCTCCTGGGGGAGCCGGCTCGGCGAGGTGTCATCCTGGGGCCGCTTCCCGCCGCTCGCACCCACGCCGCTGCGCGCCCTTCTCTGGTAGCTGCCGTGGGGAGGGTGGTGAATAGAGAAAAGAGCTGACAGCATGTTCCTGGGGACCAGGGCGGTCTCTTCGGAGTTGCAGCAATTGTCGAAAGGGTGGAGGAGGAGATGGCAAGTGGCCTGGGGCAGCCCGGGTTCCCGCTCTGTGCCCCACGGTTGCCGGGGGAGCGAGGGAGGGGAAAACGGAAGGACGGAGGAGGACCGGGCCCAGTGGGGGGCCCGCGCCCGGAGTGGGGGTCGTCTGGCCCTTCTTAGGCCTGGAAATCAGGTTCTCTGACCTGGGTTTGATGTCTTGTATTAAACATTATCTCTCCAAATTCGATCCCTGGAAGAAAGAAGGGAAGACAAGAGTAAGCCTATTTTTTCTGCTCGATGACATCTTGTTTCCAGTTATTTAAGATTGACCTGTGACCTGTCCGGTATCTCCCAGTGAGTAAGAGGGCCCCGCAGGCCTTCAGCCTGTGTAAGTCAGAGCCGGGCTTATTGGAACTAGGCCATCTCATTGATTAAGTTGGGCGCTTTTGCCCTCAATTTAGTAAGTCATGGCAGATGCCTTAGGGGCAAATACATGCTTGTGGTTTTTTGTTTTGACATTTCCATCGGATCTTTTCACCCTTCAGTCCCCTCCCCTTCCTTTCCTTTTCCTCTTCCCCCTAATTCCCTCAAGGCTTGCTTTTGAAATCTCTAGGTCTACCTAATTCACTAGAAGCTGGCTGGTGGCTTTTACAGCCTGGACAGCTGTGTTCTTGAACATTGTGTAACTGGGAAGACAATAAGCATTTTTTAGTTGAGAGATGTCAGGATTAGCACACTCTGATTTCCTTTTAGCACAATCTGACTCCCTTGAGGAAGTCTCACTCATTGACTTTGTTTTGTAGTGGGCCTTGGCTAGCTAGTAACAGCGTAAAAAACTCGGCGGGCATTGTATAGTGGGAAAAGAATGGCTTTTTACCTCCGTGGCTTCCTGTGACTCTGAACAAGTTAATTGCTTGTCTTGGCAAGCGAAATTGCCGCCTCTGTAAATTGAAGACACTTACCTAATTACCGGGTTTCATTTTCTTCACAAGAGTGCTGCGGGGAAAGTGAGAAATAGCCAACATAATATGGAGTGCTTGCCGTATGCCAGGTGCTGTCGTAAGAGTAGGTTGGTTAGCCTATTTTCTTAAGTCTTTTGAAACACCCGTCACTACCTCATTGAATGGTAGCTCCTTTTGCTCAGATGAGGAAACTGCGACACGGTGAAATCATCACTTTCCTGCGGGCCCACCGCTGTAAAGGGACGAGGCCGGGTGGTCAGGCTCCAGACAAAGCTTTGTCTTAGACACTAAGTCATTATAGGTAGGAGAACACATCTGTAGTGAGTGCTAGCATATAGGACGTGTTATGTAAATCTTCATTTCCCCTTCCCTTGTATGGTCATGTGATGCTCACTGGCTCAAGGAGACACAGATTCTAGGCAGTAGAAGTTAGAAATTGATTTATATTATGAAATTGATTGATAGTATTGATCTAGGTGGCTCATTTCACTCCATGGCTTATGCTAGTCTTTGGAGTCCTTATTTGGGCCAACTCTGACCTGTATTATGCTTTTCCCCTAGGTAATATAAGTTTTCATGAACCGGGCGTTCGGAGGAGTTTTCCTGTCCATTCTACCATTCCCTCATATGTGGAAACCATTATCCAGAGTTCTTTGCGTCAAAGGATGAACGCAATCTTAATGAGGCTTTAAGCATAATTTGTCAGATGTTTCAGTTTTTCATTTATCTCCCCCCATGTAGTTTCTTAGTACTTGGTTTCTTAGTTCGGCATTCCACATGTGCTGTTGGAAATGTATGGCATGAGTCTTTGAGCCAGCCTCCCCTGGGGTGACGTGAATGTCCCGCAGTTGCTGACAGGCGCCGAAGTCACTTGGCTGCTGCTGCTGTTCCCAGTTAATAATTCCCAAAGGCAACTGCTTATGCTACTTGCCACTCCAGCTGTGGGACGTGACAGGAGCCATCTCTGTCATGGTAGAGACTCCCCAAATGTCTCTCATTTCTCCCTCTTCATTTTGGACGAGTAGGTAGAAGCTGGACCCTGTGAAACTGCCACATTCCCTCACTGTCCTAAGAAGAACAGATGTAGGAACAAATTCAGGATTTACAACTAATCATATCGTAGCCCAGAGGTTCTGAATCCAGAACCCCCTTCTGATCAACAGAAGGGTCTAGATAAGTGCCAGGATCCAGAACGAATCAGTTGTTGAGAGCCTCACCATCCATTCATCACGTCGTCATCACTTGCTGGCCTTTCCAGCCATGAGCCTGTCCGTGTCAAGCCAGTCCATATGCAGAGGACAGACACCGAAGCACCGCCACTTTTCAGAAGCCTTCCCACAGCTTTCAGATTCAAATGGCTGAATTGACACCTGCTTGGGTCTAAATCTGCACACCTTCCAATGGGCTGTATGGGTATTCTCATAAGACCGAACCCCCAGTGATTACAGGGCCAAAGACAATATGTGTCTTCCTATGGTGGGAGCCCATAGGTCTGAACAGCGCACTGGCAATGGCTGATTGTGCTGTGTGGACCACCATCAAATGGAATCCAGTGCCCTGGGATCAGCCTCGAGCTCAGTGGGCTGAAGCCCATCGAGGTCCAGCTGCACAGATAAGCATGGATGACTGGGGCACCAGCGGTGTCATCCTGACTTTGCTGTTCCCAGGCCCCCTTCAACTTTCTCCCCTGGCACGTTTTTGTATTTTATTTGAAAAACATGTATAGCCACAAATGTCAGGTCATCTGTTTTCCTATGGGAAAAATAATCTTTTTTAAAAAAGTGAACGCTGTAATGTACATATTTTTCAAATAAAAATCAATTTCCTGGGGCACCTGGGTGGCTCAGTCGGTTAAGCATCTGACTTTGGCTCATGTCATGATCTCATGGTTCATGAGTTTGAGCCCCGAGTCGAACTTAGCACTGACAGTGCAGAGCCTGCTTCAGATTCTGTCTCTGTCTCTGTCTCTGTCCCTTACCCCCCCACCCCACAGTATCTCTCTCTCTTTCTCTCAAAAATAAATAAACATTAAAAAAAAATCATTTTCCCTTCCTTGCTACCTTTGCCCTGTTTGTAGTTTGGAATTGCAGGAAGAAATAAGGAACAGAAGGTTTTCCCCCAATTTTTCCCCCTGGTTTTATGTGTATACGCCCTGTATGTTATTTAATCCTTGACACTGCAGCAGGTACTCTTTTTATCCCCATTTTACCTAAGGTGAAACTGAGGCAAAGAGAAGTTGGGGAAGGTCCCACAGAGGAGTTCAGAGCCAGGGTTTGAACCTGGCCTCCCGACCTTTTGTGCATTATTTCCTTAGTAATATCTGCTGATCCGTTATACTTTCTTATTACTGATCAAGTCCCACTGTCTTCACATTTGTTGAAAGTTACATTCTTAAGTAACTTCTAGAATTTTTTTTGTTTACGTACATGGAAGGATGCTTCACTGCACCGAATATTTTGGACAGTAGAGCTAGGATGGCTCTGTTCTTTTGCGGGAAAGCTATCTGTGTGCCTCCCACTTGCTCAGTGTTTTGGATCCTTGGGGATACAGTAGCAGTGGCTGGCTTCCCCCAAGTGGAGCCTGTGCCAGTGCAGGAAGAGACCAGTGTTCAGTAGGCCCGCTGCTAAGTGCCCTGAAGAAGGAAGAGGGCTTTGCTGCCTTGAGGGGGGCCAGGGAAAGCCTCTGATAAGGTGGCATCGACAGGGACCAGAGCAGAGCGAGCTTGGGAGAGGTCTTACCCCTTAACTTGGCACCGTAATGTTACAGATCAGGCAAGTTAAGGGCTAGATAAGCTATAACCTGTCCCTTAAGAATTCGTCTGTGTCCCCTCTGCTCTTCCTGAGAAAGCCACCTTGCATCTTTCTTCAAAGGCGGCGTTCGTCCCGTATAAAATACATCTTCGTGTGTCCTTTATGGACCAGGATGTATTGTAATAGTTCGAACCTGTGCACCTCTAGTCACTGCTTTTTAAAAAAAAAATTTTTTTTTAACGTTTATTTATTTTTGAGACAGAGACAGAGCATGAACGGGGGAGGGTCAGAGAGAGAGGGAGACACAGAATCTGAAACAGGCTCCAGGCTCTGAGCCATCAGCACAGAACCTGACGCGGGGCTTGAACTCACAAACCGCGAGATCATGTCCTGAGCCAAAGTTGGATGCTTAACCGACTGAGCCACCCAGGCGCCCCTCTAGTCACTGTTTTGAAAACACTTTCATTTTCCTTCTTTGAAAATGTAGTATTTATAACAACAGTGATTTCGGATTTTTTTTTTTTTTCCTTTTTCCTGCCTTCTTGAGACTTTTGTCTGCTCCTAAGTTAGGCAGTCCTTGTACCTGATGTCTTTCTGGAAACTTTGAAATGGCCACCTTCATCTAGCCAGCAGCATTAGTTCTACGCTTAATGTCTCAATGAAGTGTGATGGTTAATTTACAACCTGAAGTAATTTTCCTTAGTTTATTGAGATTAATAATCCAAGATTTGAGTTTATTTCCCCACGGTTCTGTGTGAAGCAAAGGGAATTAGTGTCTGATTCGGGGGTTGTTAACTGTCACAAAAATAAGGAAGTAACTACGAACCTGATTGTGTTTTTGACAGTAAGACCTAAAGATTGTCTATATCTTTCTAACTAAAGGAGGCAGTTATTTAAAATACATGAAATCAGTCTTCTTGCTCACAGCACTTAAATCATTGCTATGCCTTAACGGTGGCAGGGAATCAGTAGAGGGAAACTTTTATAATGAG